TTGTTCAATTGAATGTTTAGAAATTTGGCTAATACAGTGTCAAAACATTGCCCGCAGAAAATGGCAGATAAGTGGTATTTCTTTACTTAGAAAATGTATTAAGAAAAAATCTAAAAATGCAACTACTATATAGTAACACTACTTTAGATCTATTTTAACACTAAAATTAAACTTTTTAGATGAATTTGAGGCCGCTGCAAATCTGCGGGAATGTAAGGCGAACCCAACTGTGTTATATATTTCGGAATAAACATTTGTTTTCCTTTACATTGGTTTTATACAAGTGATGATCAAAGAAATAGTTTTGGGTATACAAGAGTTTAAATTTAGATAAATGTCAATTTAGATAAGTCTACGATATTTTAGTAAATATTGTATCCAAATTGCTAAAAATTGGTATGTTAAGTAAAATTTTGGAACAAAATAGGATTATTATTAAATTTTTAGGAAGTGGGAGTGGCCCCGCCCACTTATGATGAAATGCTGTATCTCAGTATCCGCTTCACTAATCCGTACCAAACTCGGTATGAGCCTTGCTTAGGCTATATCTAACATAACTGCTAAAAATTCTTGATGATTGATTGATTCTTGGCGATAACCACGCTCACTTCACAGAATCAATACCTACAGAGGCTAATTCACTCAAAATCGATTCTTGGAATAACCTCGTGGCGTGGCGCCGCGCACTTTTGACCACAAATGTATATCTCGGTAACCGATTTATCAATTTGTACCAAACTCGGTGCACTTAATAACTTTGGTATGGCAAGGCAATGCGTTGAAAATACGAAAACTCCGATATTTCAGTAATTGTGGACGCTAATATACTCCACGTTAATACTTACAAAATTCTCTTAACAATAAATAAGACTGTTATTATTACAAAAATGTAGTTTTATTACATTGGGTGCGTTCGAGCTATGTAATAATTCCCGCAATATTGCAGACTTGTTGCTTTCCTGATGACATGTTGCTGATGCTCAACTGAAAATTTTCTAAACTGCTGCAGAAATTGCGCAGTAAAAATTTTGCTGTTGCTTTTCCCAATAATGAGTAACTAATTATCAAAATTTTGTTCCTGGAACGCTTGATGTAGGCAGAGTCACCCAAATTTTCGCGTAGAACGTGATACTCTTTCATAAAAAGTAACACTGCCGCATTAATTGCACCTCGAATACACTCATTTCTTACCTATACTGTGATACATATTTGAATTATTTAATTCCTTAATTTAAAGTTGAATTTGATTTTTTAAACCCTGGGAGGTTGCTTAGAGATAAAGCCTTTTCAAACCCATTTCCATTGATACCCATATTTCAGCAATTCATTTAACTAATTGAACATAATTTTCTAACGGGTGGCAACTCTGTTAATGTCTTAAGCTATATATACTTGATTTTAAACATTTACAATTCTATATGTCAAAGCACGTCTTTTCTAAACATTTCGAGTTGAAATATTCATAAAAATAATTTTGGCCGCATAAATCGGCTAGATACCCCTATGTGCATCGGTAACAAAAACTGCGAAGTCAGAACAAGTTGGACAAGGAAGGAAGGACAAAGTGAATGGGTGTGGTAGTAAAAGAGGACAAGACGAAGTATCGCCTGTCATCAAACAGCACATTCGCGGCGTTTACTTGGGAACCAGCATTAACACCGATAATAATGTCAGCATGGAAATCCAAAGCAGAATCACTCTTGCCAACAAGTGTTACTTTGGACCGAGTAGGCAATTCAGGACTAAAGTCCTCTCTCGACGAACGAAAACCACCGATGAGGCGGCTCTTGGAGTATTCGAGAGAAAGATTTTGAGGAAGATTTATGGCCATTTACGCGTTGGCGACGGCGAGTACCGCAGACGATGGAATGATGAGGTGTATGAGCTTTACAACGACATGGACATAGTGCAGCGAATTAAAATACAGCGGCTCTGCTGGCTTGGACACCGACGCTCCAGCTCGGAACCCGCTGGTAGTTGCGGCTAGTAGCAGAGGAAGAGGGAGGCCCCTACTGCCATGGAAAGACCAGGTGGAGAAGAACTTGGCTTCACTTGGCATGAGTTTGCACAGAAGAAAAACGACTGCCGTGCTTTGTTGAACTCGGCCAAAATCACTTAGGCGGTTACAGCGCTAAATAAGAAGAAGAAGGATTAGACAAGGAGGACCATGAATATATAAGCATCAATGGTCAATCAATGATATATTCTCCGCTTTGTTTTATATTTATTGGTGAATAACTTAGAGTTACCGATTTACCACCTAATTTGAATCAGCGTTGGGCAAATTTTAATTGTAAGGAAAATTAACAATTAGAATTAGAACAAAAGATCTTGGGAACTAATAGCCTTTCAAAAGACGAACCTTAGATTTGTAACAGGGATACGCTGGGGATTAGTGCAGACGAGTTGTGTCGGTACTGCCATATGCCACCAGAACCCCCACTGCCTCTGCCCATAGAATGCGAGAAGGCTAATACACCTGGGAAGGATGTGGCCAGAGTTAACTCATATTTACTCTCTACCGCCCCGGAAACTTCTGGGATTCATCAGAGCACTAGGGCTGAAAGCACAATAGACCTAATGTCGCAGGACACATCCTCTAATCTAGCCGCAATTTCTTTATAAAGTTCTAAGAATGGTCGGTTTAACAAACGTATGTGCTCTCGCTGTGTTTATCGTAATGGCTGCCCTATCTTGCCAAGCCAACACACAAATATTAGTTGAAAGCGGAGGAACTTTGTAGAAATTAAAGTGTCAGCGAGATTACGCGAACTTTAATGACACCCTGCTCAATCTACGGCTAATGTACCTCGTATCTATTTACAAATTATTATTTCTACTCCCCAAGAGAAAAGTGAAGCTTATTCCCGCTAACTTCGATGAAGACCCGAGAGCCTGACCCAGAGTCAGTTTTGGAGCCATCAGTGAAGATTCGACAACGTGTGAGTCCGAGCTCAGTGCTGGTATTAACCCAGCATTCAGCCTCAGGGAACTCAACATTATAGAATCCCTTCAACAAAGGTAATGGTGGCGTACTATCCTGTGGCATTGAAAAGACACAAGTGCTCAGATCTTTGCCGCCAGAAATGTCCGCCTCACCCCACTCAGTGTTATACCAACATCCGTTTCTTTATAGCCTGCAGGTGACCTTTAAGGCTTCCGCACGTATGAAGGCACAAAGTGACGGTAAGTGCCGCAGTGCCGCAGTGCATCAAGAGCAGCGCTAGGTGTTGTAGAGAAAGCTACCGTACAGCACATGGCAATAGTTCTTTGAAGTTTAGCAAGCAGACCTCCCACGCTATTGATTGAGAGCCTGCAGGGCTGATCATAGAGGTATAAATCCAGAGGATTCCCTTTGGTGAAAGACCGCACATTTTGCCAAAGAAGTCTTGATTTTTGAGAATTTTTTTGTTGAAGGTGTTTCGCAGTTTTGCCATTCAAAGTATTTTTCGATTTTTGTTTTGCATGGAAACAAATGCGTGAAAAAATCAAAAAAATCATTCCTAGGTACTCATACTTGTACTTTATTGTACTAAAATTTAACGGGCTACAAAACTGCATACCCGAAAAAAATCTAAAAAATCTGGAATAAATAGTTGAATAATTTCATGAAAATTAATTGGATTTTTCCTGAGTTTTGCACAAAGTCTAGAAACCATACTTTTATGCTTTTTTTAATTGAATTGTTGCATATATTGTGAAAAATTCTCTGTGCCAATACTTTTTGCCGTGTGTCTATATTCAGCTGAATATTAAAATTAATCATTGCACATACAGTGGCGGTCAAAGGTGGATGAATGGTGTTTCGTATTTAATATTTATAATGTTTTTCAAGTTATAATTTGTTTGATATTTTTTACAAAAATATCTGTGTTCATATGGAATTGTAGCTTATGTCGAATGGCTGGCTTTAGTATAATGCCGCATTCGCAGCATACGATTGCGAATGACTCACTGGCGCCGAGCCGTTGAAGAACTTTGGGCAAATAAATGTGCAAGAAATTGTTCCGATACTGGCAAGTCAATATTCTTATTAAGTCTCATCAAAAAATTCCTTGTGGTTTAAAGTATAAAGGGAATGCCGCATTATACTAAAGCAAGCTTCTCGACATAAGCTCCTATTTCATACGAACACAGATATGGGTTCATGCTTTTCCAAAAATTATATAAATCACACTTTCAAACTTTATACAGAATTTAGAAAAAAATCCACAAATTTTTGTCTAATGGCGTTTTTGTTGTGCTTAGAGGGCAATGAGAAGGTTAACATTTTTCGGTGAAAACGAATACGCCATAATTTCGAGCTTTTTACCCAGAATTTTTTAAGTTTTCGTCGGCTAAAAACAAGCGTTGATTTTTAATAATTTTCTTTTCTTTTTTTGCTGAAGTCGTTTTGAACTTTTTTCCACATAAACATGAATTTTTTGAGGAAGAATATGCGCAAGATCTTTTGCGAAAAAAAATAAAAAACTCAACGTCAGTTTTCCTAAAGTTCGCTTTTTGTATGAAAAAACGGTAAAAGCCGTAAGCAAATCAATCAATGCTTATAACTGTATACCCAAAAGATTTACAAAAATTCTGTTTAAAGAGCCCGAAATTTAGATAAAAATTTATGGGATTTTTCTAAATTCTGTATAAAGTTTGAAAGTGTTATTTATATGATTTTTGTTAAAGCATGAACCATATTTTTATAAACAAAATATCAAAAACATTGTAAATATTAAATAAATACGAAACACCATTCATCCATTTTTGATCGCAACTGTACATCCTGAAAATGAGAACGCGTTAATTATACCATACATAAAAGATTAGATTCCGCTCTCTTCAGTTTAAGCTTCCAAATGGCACTACATAATGAGAGCACATGATTTCAAAAATTATTGGCACTCCATTAATACTGTATTAGAATTGCAGTTCTCAATATACCTCTTTTTAGGGCACCTCATCGCTTCGATTTAAAAATAGAACACAAATTGTGTTGCATCTACCTCACTCACCTTTAAATAGTCTTGTCTTTGACTTTGTCGCAGTCTTTCTAATGTGGCCAGGTGTTCAACTTCCATTTCATCCTTCTGTGAAATAAAAACCAACACACAATTATTTCAAATAGCGAAATGCACACATTTGTATTTACATACATATGTACATAACCGTGGGCCGAAAATATGCTTTTTTAGAATTTCCATTGGTAATAGCAAAGATTTGGTTCAATATGCTATAAAAACAATCTGTATGAAATATGATAATTTTTGGTAAATACATTTCTTAGGCTCGCCCAAGTCCATCAAAGTTCAAGGTGCCCAAAAAAATTAAAAATTAATAACTACATTAATTAGTTAACTTTTTTTACTAAAATTGCAGTATTTTCGAAAGTATTAGTCCTACAAAATTTCGTATATGGGCCTTTTTTGTAGAGAATGGAAGTAAGCTAAGAATCATTTTTTTTAGCACTTGAACTTTGATGAACTTGGTCGGGCCTAAGATATTGACCAAAACTTGTCATCTTTCACACAGATTGTTTATAGAGCATTATTAATCGCATTTCTGCTATTACCAATCAAAATTCGAAAAAATCAGATTTTCGGCCCACGCTAATGTACATACATAAACTAAAACTAAATTTAGCTATCTTTGTAGTTACCTCAACTTTATTCGCGCTGCGTCCGTCATCCATTTCCAATGGCAGATCTTCGTCACCCTCACTCTCTTGCTCGCTCTCGCAAATCAGATCCTCCACCTCATCTTGGTCAGAATCGATGTCCTCGATTTGGTGCTGCGCTGCGGGCTGTTGATGCAATGGTGACGCACTTGGAGGTGGCAATTGAAACGGTATGGTGAGGTTATCGATATCGGGTGGCAGTGGGACATTGTGCAGGCGGCACAGTTCACGTAACAATATGCCAACCTATGAACGAACAAACAAACCAACAAACAAGCATGTGTAAACAACAAGTGCATAACTGCATTATAAACCAAAACTGATAAAACAAACAAATAAACAAACAAGCCAACGGAGCCATCGAACGAAATAAAAATAAAACACCAACGCTATCGGAGTGTTGCTGTTGTTGTTGCATTGTCGACACCCAGCACAGCTGCTACCGCTGGGGCTTTGCTTTTTAATAAATTTTTATATTTTTGCTCTATTTCGTGCACTTGTACTAAAAGTATGTAGGTATGCATGTGGCTACGTGTGTGTTTAAATGGGTTAACGTTTCTGTGAACGGTGTACGGTTGGTGCTGTCACTATGGCCATGACGTGTAAGTAGGCGCTACTGGTGGTCTGTGTGAATTTGCTACTAAGTTCACTCACCTGATTTATAACATGATTATCACGTCCATTCGTATTGCTGAGTATTTGTACGGCATTTGTTACGCTTGTCTCTTCACTCTCTGCAAACCAAACGGGTGGCGAGGATGGATACGTTTCCTGGAAATAAGAAAAGATTTTGTATTTTAGTAATGCGAAAACCAAATTTGCCTAACGAGAAAATGCTAATACATAATAATGAATGTTTGCAAAACTTTCATAAACGGCATGAAGTAAACAACGATTGCACCTGGACATCGTAAATTGCCAAATTAGAAACATAAACTAAGCGTAAAAATATTAAGTCAGAATTTATTTTGATGTATTTACAATTTGAAATAAGGTGCTATTTAGGACCACGAAAATTAATTTAGGTGCTTTTGAAATATTCTACTATAAGCGAAATCGAATTTCTTGGAAACGAATTGAGCACCTAAATTAATTTTGGTGGCCTTAGATAGTCCCTAAGAAGCATTTAATGTATCAATAGGGTGACATGTCGTGAGACAGAGTCATTCTTAGACATCATCTAACATACGATTTTAGATGAGCATTTAGGCATTAAGAAGATTTTATATTGGACATCGCATAGTTTGACATTTAATCAAATAAAATACTCTGGTATATATTCCCGTTGGCGTTGTCGTTTCGAAAAAGAAATAAAAACGAAAATTAGACATCACCTTTGGTGTTATCGACATTTATCGCAAACGTATCGATATTCTTCATAACGAACAACGAACCGTGAATCGTGAATACTCTGTTTAGGTATATAAATTCACTTAAGCAAAGTAAAACTGTTAATGCTGAATGATACACAACCATTTGTAGTCTTCGCAGAATGCGGAAAAAATAAACCAACGTTGGAAAACCACCCTTCGCCAGGACAATGCATATCCCACAGTAGCTCATATAAAAGCGGGTTTGCACGCTAAAAGCGTGGAATGACTGAATTACATCCCTGATTTGACACCAAGGACGTCTTCTTGTTCCGTACGCTAGTCTTAAGTGTTTGTCCGAGCTTCTATGCTGACAAAGATATAAAGATATTGGCTGCACCATTAAACGTCAATTGCCTTGCAAAGGTATAAAGCATTCGGCCTATCACTGAAGCCAGCCCAGTCTGATTTTCGTGACTATTTAGGACATAGTTGTGTACTAGGTGGGGTTCTCAGGGCATGTGAAGAGGTCATGTGGGAACTCTCCACATGCCGGGCATTGGTTGGGTACATCCTCATTAATTCTGCTCAGGTATGAGTTTAGTCTGCTGCAATAGCCAGAGCGAAGTTGGGCTTCGCAGAAATGAATTCGTTTCGTTCGAATAAAACGAAATGCATTCAACAAAAAATTGATTTATTCGTTTATGGAACAACAAAACCGTTCGAAAATAAAAACTTAATATCATTTGAAAAAAAAAAACAAAGTTACACTGGCGATCAAAACTGAGGGCATGGAGGTTTTTTTTTAAAGTAAAGTTTTGTGTTACATTATATAAAAATATGTTTCATGCTTTAGACAAAACCATAAAATTAATTCAAACTTTCAAACATACAAACTCTAGAAAAATTCAACAAATTTCCCAAAAAAATGTTGGGAATTTTTAATCTTAATTCTTGGATATGCAGTTACATGGCTTTGATACTTTTATGCTGATGTTTTTTTCCATACAAAGATGAATTTGAAGCAAATGCGCAACAACGTTTGCAAAAAAAAAATTCAAAAAATCAACGCCAGTTTTTATAAGTTCAAAATTTTGTTTAAGTTCAAAATTTTGATTGAAATTTGTTGCATTCTTCTAAAATTTGTATTAAGTTTGCAAGTTTGATTAATGTATGTATGTATATGGTTTTGTTTAAAGCATGGAAATTATTTTTATAAAAAAATATCAAAACAATTAACTTTAAAAACATTGTAGATATTTGAAAAAATCACCATTCTCTCAGTTTTGATCGCCAGTGTATGTACATATTTGTTTATTTATTTATTTATTTATTTACAGCGTGGCGACGAATAACTGTTACCCAGGTTTTTTTGAGAAATAGAAGAGTCCTTTATAGATTTTGCGAAAAAAGTATGTTATTGATAATTTTCCACAGATTTTACTTTAGTTGTATTAATTAGTTTTTAAATTTTAATCCTTATTTACATTTGCCAGCAGTGTAAACTTTGAGAGAAAAGTTCATTTGGCACGCAGGTCCTCGTCAGTTAATTTGTTCCATATCTTCTGTAACCATAGGCTAATTTTCTCCATTTTGAGTCCCTTATACTCCCCCTTCTGTCCAAAATAAGGCCTCATACTCAAAAATCTAATAGACTCGGGACTGGTGACTAGGACGGCCATTCATTCGACCAACCTTATACAGTTTTTTCTTTTTTGTACTTTTTTTATACAAAGCCAAAGAAAAAATACACCTGAAAAAGACTTGCGTGCCAAATGAACTTTTCTCTCAAAGTTTACACTGCTGGCAAATGTAGATAAGGATTAAAATTTAAAAACTAAAGTAAAATCTGTGGAAAATTAACAATAAAATACTTTTTTCGTAAAATTTATAAAGGACCCTTTTATTTCTCAAAAAAAACTGGGTAACAGTTATTCGTCGCCACGCTGTATTACGGTCGTATGACCTACAAATAGACACACGTATGACCATATATAACAAATATTACAAAGTCCACATTTATTCATTAAAAGTAGAGATAGCGTAATGTTAAATTTCTTTTACAGTTATTTTAATTTTTCTTTTAATCTGGATGTAATATAGCTTATGCATAAGTATCTAATAAATAGTAAATATCTATATAAATATCTAAGAGTATCACATTTTCGGGGCTGTCGGAATGGACGAGATTCCGAGCAGCGCAGTACCTATACTGGGCGGTGGGAAAGAACTAGTTTCCAAGCCGCCTCTTCTCCATACCACTTTAGGGCAGGCAATCAGAATGGCCGAGATCCAGAGTCGCGCTGCTGGAAAGGAATAGTTTCTATGCCAATCTTTGCTATCTAATAGCCAATGTTTTGCAGTAGTTAAATAGCAGCCTCTTGAAAGTGCCAACGTTCTTACACTGTTTTATTTGCGCTGGTAGCTCGTTAAAGCATTTTAACCCTTTATGGAAGATATTTTTCTTGTCAACTTCTGTTTTATATAGCGGGAGCCTGAAACTGTTGTTTTCCCTTAGTAAGTATGAATGAGTTTCATTAATATATCGTAAGTTGTCACTCAGATAATCTGGAAGCCTACCCTGCTTTATGTTAAATACGAATTTCATTACGTTATAGAATATTTGCTGTTTAATGCTCAACCAATTTAATTGTATACATATTTAGCCTTAAATATTGCATTTGAATATTTTTAAATAAAAATTATACTTTTCGTTCAACTTTGATTCAACTAAACGTCCGTGAAAGTTAACCAAGACAAACACGCTTTAAGCGAAGAGTGAACGATTTCGGGCAAAAATGGGGGACCTACGCAACCTTCCGTAGCAAGGGGGAGGGGGAGTCAAAATGGGTTATGTCCCACTTGATGAAGTACGTCTGGCAACCCTAGCACCACATAAATCAAAAATTAATATTTAAATTGAAGCTTCAACCATGATACAAAAATTTTAAGGTAAAACCGCTGAGAGGCAGCCTGAACATTTTTGAAGTTAGCTAACATAACAAAAATGTTGTCAAATTTTCAATTTCACAAATACACTTTCAGTCTCAAATAAAAGAAAATTGAATATTTTCATCTATTTGTTTTTTGCATGGCGTACTAAACAGGTGAGGTGTAGTAATAAAACAGCCTTCTCTCTTTATTTTCTGACATTCGGCTGCCTTAAGGCCTTTATGCAGCTCTCAAGAAAAGCAAAACCTCCATATAAAACGACGTACAAGAAATGGCTAAGAAATTTTCTTGAGTCAAATTTCCTTAAGGCTGTACGCAGTTCTTAAGAAATTTACTACGCTTTCTACTACGGTTTTCTAAAGTTTTTTGTGCAAAAAGAGCACAAGGCAACCCAGGTTTGCAACAGAAATATATGCCCGTTCCCTTATTTCTTGAGGAAAGAGTGAGGCCACAGGCTGTGAAGTATCAAAAACGTCAAAATTCCTTGTACACACACACGAAATAATTGCAATCTTTTCTTGACCGTTTTCTTGAGAGCTGCATACAGGGCATTATAGTAAAATTTTATAAGGAATTTTTAAAATAAGGCAGTGCCAAAATTATTCTTTTCGCTCTAACTACTTCACCTGTTATAATTCCACCATGGTTTTTTGTTTTACTTCAAACACAAACTTCAAACAAGTAAAGAAGTCCAAGTTCGGGCGGAGCCGAACATTGATACCCGGCGCAAGTATCAAATATAGTTTTTGCACCTTTCCGAAAGCTACCGCTACATGGTAAGCAGGGGTGCATCACTATTTCAAACATCTTCGATAAACTTATGTAGTTATATGTGGGCGGTATCAGGCCCATTTTCCAAAATTACATACTAATGCTACTTCTTTTCAAGGGATTGTGGTTAGTATCATTTTTGTGTAAATTAGCGTCCTTAAATTTCGAACTATCGAAGTTTCAAGCATTTTTGAAATTGACCGTTATAAAAAAGTGGGCGTCATTTTAGTCCGATTTCAATAACTCTCAGCGTTTTGCTTTTATATCTCAATTTTTAATCGAGTTATCGAACAGACAGTCACCGCTTAATCGATTTTTTTTTTCATTCTGATCGTTATGTTCACATTTGCATATATATATATCTCGATTAGTTTTGTCTATTACAAACAACCGTTATGTGAATATGTGAACAAATTTATAACACCCTTGTGCACAAGTGCGCTCGGGTATAAAAATAAATGATGGCCGACGAAGTGAGCGAGGGCTTTACTTTAAATATTTGTATCATGGCTTCAACTCTCACTTCTCAAAAAGAATATTAAATGTTACATGCATAAAGTCCTTAAAGTGCTTCCCTGAAAGTGTTTTAAAAAAGAAGAAAGCCTATCTTTAAATTTTATCAACATGCATACATATGTACATATCGCACACCGTCTTCAATAGAGTTACAGCTCAAAATTTGCCATTTTTGAAATTATGCGCTAAAAATGTACACAGAGGTTTTATTTACCTTTCAGCAAAAGCTGGAGCAAATTTGTTAACGACCTTTAAGGTAAAGTCGCCCTTGCC